TAGTCCATTATGAATGAGAACAGATTAGAACAGAATATATTTAGTATGGCAAACAATTTTGATCTAAATTGCCAGATGTTCTGCACTGATTCATTCTTGTATATTAAAATTCAGTTTAGAACATTTTCACCTGTTTCTTTCCAGGTCTAGACTTACAGCAATCACACATAAAGAAATCAGGTTCGTGAACAACAGTATTTGACTGAAAATTTTCAAACACTAATTTATCTTTCAACTAGTACCAAATATACAGGATTTCAGACAAACACATGCAATATCCTTCCACTGGGAATCATATCTTATATCGTAATGTTCATGAGTTCCAACACGTCTAAAAAAAAAAATCTTGTAAAGAGTTAGTAGAGATCATCACACTAGGTAAGTAAAAAAAATAAAAAGCAGACAAAACCCAGCATATCGGTGCTTCAGCTTAGATATTAAGCAGTGAAAATCTATGTGTTTCTACCTGCTGTAGAAGACAATAAGGCAAAACCAAGCTCTCCTTTAAGTTGTACAGGTAGGTTACATGTAAGATTGTTTTAAATACAGAAGCAAAAGCTTAACTTACATGAAGCAGCATCATTAGTTTATTGGACTTGAAGAAACAAGCCTGTTATCAGCAAGTGAAAAGTCTGTATTAGCCACTATTGCAAATATAAGTATATATTAAGACTCAATTTAGTTGTAAATCTCAGCAGATAATGCATTTGGGTAACACTGTTCACCATGACTATGGCTATCAGCTTCCACAATGATTCTTCTCTAATCTTAAAAAAAGGCAAAATAGGCTTTTTTAACCGCACAGCAGTTAATTGCTGAGAGTTGGAAAACTTGTCCTAGTAACTTCAGATGAAATACAAATATATGATTTTCCAAATTCTTATTAAAATCTTGTATGCACAATATTTTCAGCATCTTAGATTCAGGGTAATAAATGGGATCCTATAAACAGGCAGAATATTTCAATTCAAACTAAGCAGCATGAATGCAATTCAAAAACAGACACATATGAAAGATTCTCTGATAATAATTTGTCAATTTATGTTAAAATATATGCAGTATATATTCTCTCTCTATATGTACACCATATATAGATATCCTGCATCACATATAGTATGCTGCCACATATATTCTGCCCACGCAGAAGACTTAAAATATGTAAATTTGTACAGATGGTACCCACATTTACCATAATGATGGCCAACACCATGGATTTCTTAGAGGAGTATCCTCTAGTGAAGGGCTCAGAGATGACACCAACTAAACACTAGGAAAATGTCTTTCTGGAATATAAGTGGCCATATATCAGTATACAATGTTACTACCAAAAAAGGCTGGCAAGTTTTACAACTTTATTTCATTCAAAAGGTTAACTTAGGAAGATATTGGCATTTTAATTAATTATGTGCATCTGCATGAGAAAGACTCCCAATCATGAACTGTAGCAAGACAGAGACAAAGAACATGAGGCACTTTAAACGTCTATTTTCACATCATCTGAACATTAAATTCTCAGAATTTAGAAAGTAACTTAAAGCTGATGAAAGCCTTTAACACTTATTTATACCGATTCACCTTAAGTCGATGTTTATTATGCGCACTGAACTCATATTTGATACAATAGGGCAATATAACACACAAAGTAACATGATATAATAATGTAACTAGTTTCTAAAGCAAACTGATAACAATTAACCCCAAGAGCCTTAGATTTTTCAGGGGACTTAACCTGATCAAAATAAGAGCAATTTTGAACTATTTCTTTTCTTTCTATTATTTTGTTGTTGCTGTTGTTTGAGGTTTTTAAGAGTTATTTGAAATCTGCCTCCAATGATAATATTATGCTCCTTCAGTGGCTGTCAGAACCCTGGCAGTCCATTCTAAATAATCCATGAAAGCTAATCCATGAAAGACACTGGAAAAGAGTCTATCATCAGCAGCCTCAAAGTTCTCTTTACAAGGGCCATCGCCTGATACTGAAGTACTGCAAGGGTCTATAAATTGCAAAAGGATGGAAAAGTACACCATTAGTCATTAACCAAGAGCAAAAAGAAAAGAAAACAGTCTATAAGTGGGCTCTTTGAAGAGGCTGGAAAGGGCTAGAATGAAAAGCGAAAAGTCCTATACAACCATAAACCTTTGCCATCAGTGGTCTGCAGTGACAGAACTTCTCTGATCAGAACAGACTTGGAACCACAGATAAAACACTTAAGAGTGTCTCTAAACATTACTTGGAAGTTAGTGAACACAAATCTATGGTCAGAGCTTAATAAGCTTTAGAAAATGAGAACCAACAACTTCAAACTAAATAATTTCTTCTAGTAATTGGCTAACTGATTTAAAAAATAAACGAGACCCTTTTACTCGATTGCTAAGAAGGGGGATGAATCACAAGTTTTCAATACCCTTAAGACTTCTGTATACAAAATCACTAGCCATAGCATTTTTTTATGTAAATAATTTAATCAGCTAGTCTTCATAGTACTGTCAGAATCATGCAGTTGTTTTGAATTTTTGTTTAAATATTTGATACTTTGTCCAGAAGATGTGTTACACAACTAAACCAAATACTTCTCTATGGGAAATCATAGCATGTAACCAACCTAACCTATTTTTAATTAGAAGTCCAAAGTACACAAAGCCTTATTTATCTGGCAATTTCATTTTAGCATATATCTGCCAAAACTCTGTCACATGCTGACTCCTAGGATCTTAAACAAAGGCAGATGTACTTTTGGCAAATGTAACTGACACTAGTGTGTTGGGGTATTTTGTAAAAAAAACAAAACAAAACAAAAAACCTCAAACCAAACACCCCACCACACTAACACAATTCAAATGCCAGCCTCACACACTCTTACATTACTTAAAGTCTTCAAACATTGCAAGTTTTGTTCTGGTTTAGTTTTAGTTCCAAAATCTGGAATCAACTTGGAGAAGGTACTGAGTGGCTATTCTTGCAGTTTCTCATTTGAGGTGTATAACCAAGAAAAAACCAACCTAACACACCCTTGTTTTCCAGTTTCTTGTCAAGAAATCTCAGGTGTGGAAACACAAGCACCATTAGTATCTGTGCATAAATCTCCTCAAACTAGATGGAAACAAACTGAATGCTGCTGAATACATGCAGCAAGAGACTTTTTCTTTTTAATGGGATTTTTCTTCCAGGAATACTAGTATCTGTTATTTTTTCCTATGTGCTATGCTCAACAAGTTTACCAGTACAATTCCATGTGTAACTCTGATCACTACAATTTTTAAAATACGGTTTAGTTTTTAAAAATTTAATTTCAACTGTTAACACACTGTCATTTCACATTCAGAAACAAATCTCGAAGTGAAAAGTCACATCCAACTGGCAAAAATTCTCCTGCTGCACACAAAGTGCACTGAAATAAAAAATTTACAGTTGTCTTGCTCAGACATCTTCCTCTACAGCCTACTACTACAGACAAACATGAAGTGAGAAGTTTGAGGATGGGAGAGGAAATACACGTAGGGGAGGAGATGAATGTATTTAGTATTGTATTTTTGAGGCTTCCCCAGACATCCTTATGAGACAGAGCATTATATTCACAAAAAGGGAATCGAAACTCCACTACAAAGTTTAAAAAAGTAGATGCCCTTAGAGACATTACATTTTTATGATCAGCAAGCTTTACAATACAGTAACTTCAGGCATATTTCCCAGTAATTTTATAAAAGAGTTCTCCATTCTTCCACATTGACAGAACCACCACCTATGCTACCTATTACACCAATATCGAAATAAATTAGATGCTTTCAAAATACAACACTGACACAAACTCCTAGGGTGGAAAATATCCCACCGAGCATTCTGAACCAACTGTGGCACTTTTGCTCTAGTTTACAAACAAGTAACACCAGAGTACAATAAAATTCAAAACAATTTCTCCTGAAAATAGCACAGGTTTCATGAGTACGCAGATTTCATAAACTCTCAAATGCAGTACTCTAAATATGTTTCCTGACTGAATTAGCTCTCAGATACACAGTGCTATTCTTTCTCATACTACTTTTTTTTCTAGTCTCAAAAACCTGCTCCAGAGCCTCAATTCATGTCAGTTCCCCAATTCTCTCATGTTTATCCCACACTGTTTTTTCCGCACTATCCTTAAACCAAATCTGAAGCATTAATGCCATTTTAAAAAACGTAGCTAAAGATTTACCTCAAAGCTACGATCTTATCAAACACTAGAAGCATTATATCTGCAGTTGTACCCTACTTTACTTGATAAATTTTAGATAAGCATCCTTAAAAACACTACTTGTACCAGTATACTTAAAGATTTAGAGATCAAACAACTGAGACAAGTTAGGAGATCCCACACAGGGATTCTGCACGTACAGAAAGCCTACACAATACAACTATTGAATTCAATTCCACATGGAACAAAACAGGAGAATGCCCATTAAAAGCGACGTGAGCTTGGCCCTATAAACTACGCACGAGGCACACAAGTCAGTTTTACTGTTCACGGGCTTCCTTCCGTGAAGAAACTTCAAATAAAAAAAAAAAAAAGGTATGAACTTGACGCTCAAGAAAAAATACAGTCTTTGTAAGATTAGAAGCCATAGCACACACGAGTCCAAGAAAAACCAAAGTACAGGAGACGCGAGCGATTCAGCAAGGGGCAGGGTGGAGCAGAAGGCGGGACAATGACCTAATAGGTCTTTTCTATCTTTAGTTTCCTGAGCCTCCGTGGAGAACAGGCGTCTGGGTCACACGCTTCCCTCTCGGGCCGAAAATCACCGCGGTCTCCGCAC